ACGGCGTGTAATCCTTCAACAAAAGCGGTATAGAACAGAGCTCGCCCTGTGGCGTAATGTCGATAGCAAAGTATTCACTCAGCAGCGCCGCCTTGTTGATAAGCTGCTTTCTGACTACGTCGACGACTTGATCCCAGTCCACTTCGCTTGCTGAGTCGCCCGCGTTACTTTTTTCCTGCTGCGCTGCTATCTTGAGCAACTCGTCTAGCGATAAGGGCGGATCAAACCGTATGTATCCGTAATTAGCAAAGTCTGTTAGACCAATCTGGTAGAAAAGCTCGTTGCACAGCATCCCATAATCGATGAGAAATAACTTGACTCCACCCTGGATGGCTGCAATGCGTTTTTGCTCGTCGACAATGCCGACAAATGTGTGTGTTGAGATGATATCGGTGAGTTCCGTGTGCATTGCGTCGCGTACTTCTGCGCGCAGTTCTTTGATGGAGGTTAGACGGCATGCTACTGGTGTTCTTTCTGTGACGTCGTATTCCATCTCGCTCTCTTCGTCTGAGACATCGTCTACTGATCGTTCGGGCTGCAGCATCGATGTGATTTTGCGGATCGAAGTGTCTGTTCGAACTAGATTATTTTCGTTTCGTTTTCTGGTCGATGTCTGTGGTGCTCTTGAGGCACTACGATCTGATGCATCGCCCTTACTAGGAGTGATTGGTAGAGTCGGTTTCAGGGGCGTTGAGAGTGGGACTTTAGGATTCGCCAGTAGTGATTGTGTTGCGAAGGACCGGCTGGTGTCGACCTTGCTGAGACTATCGCGGATCGAATCGCATATCATAGCGATGATCTCGTCTTCGTTCAGGAAATGTACCTCCTGCTTTGTAGGATGTACGTTAACATCAACTCGTTGTGGCTCAATCTCGAGACTGAGGTAGAAGAATGGATGCCCTCCTTTCGGTAGAAACATTGCATATGTCTGCTCAACGCCCTTCTTGATCACTTGAGAATCAACTGAACGGTGATTTATGAAAAGCAACATCTGCGTCTTCTTCACGCTGTAGTTTGCATTGCTGATCCAGCCGTCGCACTTGAAACCCCAGCGATCATCTTTAACGTTCAAGGCCACTAGCTCGTTGGCAGCACTAATACCATGGATTTGACGTATACGGTCTTTTACTGTAGCAGATGCAGGTACTGTCACGCTGTTTCCAGAGGTTTCATTTGCCTTTTTGCACGAAAAGGCGACTCCTTGGCAATGCACGGCATAGCGTCCAACGAGGTCGAGTATCTTTGCATACTCTTCACTAGCTGAACGAAAGGCCCGACGTCGAGAGGGGACATTGTAGAACAAATCTTCAACCTAGCATCACATGAGTTCCATCGCCCAAATCTGTTTCTGTTTTGACATACCGTAATGGTGGTACCTTGCCGTCCTGCTTTGGGCCTTGGTTCTGCGCTCTGTCCCGGTTTTGGACTGGTGAGCTTGCCGTCTGCGAAATGAGCTTCCCACGCACAACTTGACTCTTTCGTCCTCGTAGTGACTTTGAGATGGGCAATGTGGCTGATACTCGCCAGCGCCTCGCCACGGAAGCCATATGTGCCGATTGAGGTTAGATCTTCAAAAGCCTTCAACTTGGAGGTAGTAAAGCGCTCGCACAAGATTGTTAAATCTTCTTTCTGGGATAGTTAGAATGCGATGTTGTTGTGACAAGTCAAACATACGTCAATCCCATGTCCGTTGTCGGTAATCTGCAGAAGCTTGAGACCACCGTCTTTCACTAAGATTTCCAGTGCGGTCGATCCCGCATCCACAGCATTTTCAATCAGTTCTTTCAACGCATGCATAGGCGCGACGATGATTTCTCCGGCAGCAATCTTGTTGACGACATCTTGCGAAAGTGCCTTGATCCTGCGTGGCGCAGGAAGTGAAAGGCTATCATCGCCTTTGCGTTTAGTTCCACGTGGCGACGATTGCGAAGTGTCCATTTCGTCCGCCATGCTTGCGAGCTGACAGGAAGAGAGAGACGTATCTTGTGGAGGTGGTAATGATGATGGCGCAAGTAAGACATACGAGATGGAAGGCGCGATACGTGCAACGCCCCACTTTCGCGCGCTCACGTGCCAGCCTACGTACTACCCTCTCTGGACGCAACGCCTCTCTCCTTGCAACCATCTTCATGGCCTGTATCCAGTCTTCGATCGCACAAAGAGAATTTAAACACTAGTGAAAGAATAGCATTTCAAATTACCCTCATGAGTTTCTCCCATGATTAATCACCAACCTCTTTCGCCACAGTGACATGCTCGAGCAGACACGCGGATTGCAAGTCATCTGGGCGGAATATATTGTTCTTTATTTCGAGAATCCTGGCGACTCACAGGTGATATTATCATTCTAAGAGTTATTGTGTGTTGAACATGGCACCCCCATCATACGCACGCGCCACGGCCTCGTCCATCTCAAAAGCCAGCCCAAAGTCATCAAGAACGATCCGGGACCCAGAGGTGGTAAAAGCAACTCCATCACCTAGCCCCAGGAAGTTGACAGAATCGCGTGGACAAAACAAACTTACAATACTGTCGAGTCCAAAGACACCAGCCAGACTAAGCAAAGCCGACAACTCCACTCCAACATCCCAGGAAAAGAAGAAGGTCCTCAAACGCCCCTCGACGCTCACATCCCACCAAAAAGACACCATAACTTACAAACGCGACCTCTACCACATCACCCCAAAAGACCCATCAAAGCTTTGTTTCCTATCTCTTCTCCCCTCGGAACTCCGCACCCAAATCTACACCTACATCCTCCCCTCAACCCACTACATCTCACCTTCATGGCCCTCCTCCCTAAGCAAGCCCAAGCACCAAGCACCCCCATCCCTCCTGCACATCAGCCGAGCAATAAGAATCGAAGCAGCATACACCTACTACACAGCCACAACCTTCCACTTCACCGTCCGCAACCTCGACTTCTCGCCCGTAACGCGCTGGCTCGAGGACCTAGTACCCCAGCACCGCGCATTGCTCCCCAGGAATCATCGGGGCCTGGAAATCAACGTTATCCCCGCTGTGAAAAGCACGTTTACGTATCCGCCCAAGGGATGGCTGTTAGATGCAGATATGGAGCATCACTGGCGCGCGTGCCAGCCCTTTGGCAATATCTACACGGTACACGGCGAGGCGCACAAGATGCATTTTGTCGTGTTTTGTCGGCTGGCCGAGTGGTGGCGGTGGTGGGGGGCGCTGCAGCTAAAGGGCGAGGTTAAATGCAATTATGCGTTTGAGCAGAGCCCGTTTGCGAATCCGTTTGGTATCCCGGATTTCCTGGATGAGGTGGTGCTCAGGCAGTTTTTGAGGCACCATGGGTGTGTGGTTGGTATGACGTGTGTGGATAAGGCATGGAGGAGGAATCGGAGGGTGTCGGCGGGGATGAAGGGTGAAGGGGTGAGGTTTTTGGAGGCGTTGGATAGATGGTATATGAATAGATGGGGGGACCAGGAGAGTGCAAATGAGTGGAATACGAGGATGGAAGAGGCGAAGAAGGCGGTTAGGAGGTGGTAGTCATGAAATGAAATGCTCGTCTGTAGGCTCTTAACCTATTCTTCTTTTGGCGCTAGGAATTCCATCCATTATTGCTAGCTGCGACAGGATAATGGCCAGCTTTATTTTAGTAAAAGAACCCTTTTCCCTCCTTTGGAATCCGAATAATCCAACAAACTAGCGGGATCCGTCCAAACGCCTACAAAACGCCGATATCTGCCGTGGGTATCGCATCTAGCTCTCCTTACAGCGTACCTTGATCATGATACACAAAAATCTACCGTTGACGAAGGAACGACGGCTCAAAGCCATAAATCGGATTCCCAAGCTAATCACCATCGTTAGTATTTCCTCGTTTCTCTCTAGACTCTTCCCATGTCCCTACTCAAGAAAAGAACAAAAGAAAACATACCCGTTGCAGCGCAAACACAACATCAGTAACCGCCACCGTCTGCCTGCCACTGCTATCAATAATAGCGCAAATATCTTTTAGAATCTAATCATCTATCATTAGCAAATGATATATGCATTAAAAAAAGATTGCGTGTCGTTAAAAGCAAAAAGCACACATACCCGTGCCAACCGCTCCCGCAGGGCCTGACGAATATCAGAGTACACTATAGCAGAGATACGCTTAATGCCACCACGACGCGCTAGTCGTCTATCGTAGCTATCGTTAGTAAATTCCCTTATATCACCCACCTAAAAGCATACTTCTAAAAAAAAAACAAAGAACGAACAATATGTACCTAATATCGCCCTTGGTAATGCCATGAATACTATCTCTCTGAATCTTCCTGTGCAGGTTCCAGTTTGTTAGTTCATGCGCACACGTTACACATTGTAGTTTACCTAGCGAGAAAGGCTAGGTATTCGACATACATGTGACGTTTCATGGGTCCTTTGGGACGTCCAAGGACACTTTTCCCGAGACCGCCGGCGCCCCGACCGAGGCCTAGGCCGAGCTGAGTAGCCCTTGATGGCGTGGCCGACGACGGTGGCTGTGGTCGGGGTGTTGAGGAAGCACCATTGTAGCGCGGTATGGCGCTAAACTGATTAGGCCTTTGAGTGGACATCGTTGTAGGTAGAGGAAAGGTAGTGGGTGTAACGATGGAGAGCGGGGGGTGTGCTGGTTGATAAGAGGGCTACGCGCGTCCAACGCGTTTGGTTGGGGGACGCGCTATCAGGTGAGAGAGATAGTGAGGGGAGGAAGTGAGATGGAAGCAGAGTGTGGGGTATCGATAGCGAGGCTGCACACTACGCCGCAGAGACGGGGAATGCAGGGCAAGCTGTGATGTACCGCAAACAAGCTCGCCAAGGCGGGGAAAGGCTAGATGCCAAACTTCATATGCAGGTCAGATAAAAGCAAAAGTACATGATGCAACGCGACGTCTTGAGCGTGACAAACGTTATTCATTAAACAACCAGGTCCCAGTCCTGATATATTACTACTACGTGGGTATCAAGGATAGCTGAGGGTCGTCATATCCAAAGCCTGGAGAGCCCAGCTACGAGATGAAGGTGGCCTCAGTGAAAAGTGTGCCTTCCTCCTCCTTAACCTCATCGCCCACCTTCACCTTGATGGTCATCTTGGGCGCATATTGGTAGATATATGGCTTGGTGCCTGCTGCACTGGCAACGATGGTCTTGATAAAGCCCGGAACCTCGGCCATGACGTCAACGCGGTCAATTATCTCACCCAGGGGGCCCGCGATGTCTGCGGTGACATCCTTTCCGTCCTCCGTCTTTCCGACCCAGTGGTAGCTGGCTGCGGTAGGCGCTTGCCAGCCAGTCTCGTCTTGCTTGGTCTCGGTGTGCTTCACGTCGCCTTCGGTGTTTGCGAAGAGGAGCTTGCCGTCGGTGGCAATACCGGCAACTCGGACGATTGTCGAGGCGTATGAGGCGGGGGTTGTGAACTCCATGAGAATAGCGGAGTATGAGGGGGACTGGAAGTTGACAAAGTTCCACCGGGCAGCTAGGTGTGTTTAGTAAAGGGGTATGTATATATTCTGCACGATGCTTACCGGCATGGTGGGGCTTCATTCCCTGGAGAGCATGGCTCAGCATGCCGCGGCCCTTGACGTCGACTGGACCCTCTTTGGTGTGAATGGCGCCCTCGACGCTGCATCGGGGCCAGAAGTGGTGGTGCATCGACCCCCATGGCTCCTTGGGGTTGGTACCGTAATTGGTGGTGCCATCCTTTCCGCCCATAAATCCAGGCGCGGTCCTGGTGAACTTTACATCTACCATGCAGTCCTCTCGGACGGCCGCCTTGATAGCGTACTGGGTGCCATCCTCGGAGAGCTCAATGGAGACGCCGTCGGCGAAGAAGGAGTGCTGCTTCTCGTCGAAGCCGTAGTTGTAGACGGGGTCGCTTGCCCAGAGGAAGGGCCTCTCGTTGTTAGGGAAGAAGAGCTTGCAGTTGAACTGCACGGTCACACGGAGGCCACTATGCAGAGTAAGCACAGAAGCGAGGCGGGTGTACAGAAGGGGCCAACGCACGCAATGTTGTTGTAGATGACCTGCAGGAAGCCCTGGTGGCCGGCGTCGCTGAAGATGTAGAAGGTCTGTGTCTCGACATTGGTGTAGTCGAGGGTGGACCACTTGAGGTGATCCTTGGTCAGCTCGGTGTAGGCAGGCTCGTCGCCCTTCTTGCCCACGGGCTGGATGGCCTCAGGACCGTATTCGGGCTCCTGGGTACCGGCAACCGCGGCTAGCCTGCATCCGTCAGTCGGCGTACTCGAGTGCAGTGCAGCACCCAGGCCAGCACCCCCAGGCCTCCCTCGTCACTCACGTTGACTTTGCCCAACTGAACATTTTGGGCCACGGCGATGCACTGCACTATTATGCAACGGGGCGTGCGAGGCTCAGTCTTGATTGGGCGGCGACAGGGAAGAAAATCTCTGTAAAGACTTGTTCAACAGGGCCGGAGGCTAAGATGTCGAAGGGAACAAGAACACGGCAGGGCGTGCAAGGTCGAGACCAACGGGGTGGAGCAGGCTGATGTGTCGTGGGGGGGCGGGAGGTCGCAGAGGATTGAGTATGTGTGCGGCAGCAGGGGAGAGGGAGAGGAGAGGGAGTGTCTGCTGGGTACTTGTGCCTGCACGAGAGTGGCTAATCATGGACTGGAGCCAGCAGAGGCGGTGGGTGCAGAATGGGTGGATGGCAAATGCAAAGAGTCGAGGCTTAGCCGCAGCCTCCCGATGTTCCTTCGTAGACGCTGGACGGATGGGGCAAGCCGCGCCAGGTGCTATCCACAACCCCTCTGAAGATCATTTCTCGCCGCTTTTCTGCCGCCCAGCCACTGCATTGCATCTACTTTACATAGACAGGCTGATACTACCGCCCAGCACCATCAACACCACAACAACAACCACGGCCACGACCCCGGCCTTCCTCTTGTCTGCCTGTGCTGACTCCGAGCTTCCCGCACCACTGCGGACGAATTGGCGCTGCGCACTCGACGACTAGCGCGGGGCTCCATCTGCATCCACTTATCCTAGCTGCCCATGACGAACCTCGATGCTCTGTAGCCAGGCACACGACCAGCCCACCTGTTCCTCCTCCTCCGCTTCCCTTGTCCGGCCCATCCAACGCACCACCGCCCTCGCTTGACGGACTTTGGTAGCGACCGACGAGCGAGCTTCCATCGCAGAGTCGCCCTCCTTACCCCATGTAAGCGCAATCTCTCCGTCCTATGCGTTCGCGCTTTCCGTCATGGCCTAGACTAACTTAGCTGCCCTTTTCTGACAGAACTCTCTTCTGTCCCTCATCACTCATCATGACGTCTACTCCCCCCGCCCAGTCTGTCCGCTTCAGCGAGGTTCACGAGGAAATTGAGCCCGCCCAGGCCGTGCGAGATGTTGCCGACCTCACTAGCCCCGCCAAAGCGCCCCAGCATGGCCCATTGAGCCCCCAGGCCGAAGAAGAGCTACGCAACCTGTCGTCCACGCTCCAAAAGTCTCGCATGCAGGCAAAGCGCATGGAGAACTTCTCATTCGAGCCTGTCTCGCTTCCACCCTCCCGCGTAAGCAAACTCTCGACCATGACATGCCGCAACTAGCGCCCATCCAGCTAACACTCCACAGGCACCTTCACCCAGCCCAGCCTCGCGAACAATTTCAGGACACTCCGCACATCGCTCTTCCATACCCTCTTCACCTGCCTCCGCCATGCATTCTCCACCATTGACACCTGCAGGAACATCGTCCCGGGATGAAAAAGCAGCCGGCCCAGGACACAACAAACATCCAAGCGACCCCGCCCTCATGACGCCGCAAATCTCACCTCCCCATGAGCCTCCACCAACCTCCATGGATTCGTCTCTCCAGAGCCCGAATGAGAGCCAGTCTTCGTTGGTAGTTCCCGGATCGCCAAGAACCGCACCACAGTCCCCACGACCATCCTCAGACTTGCCCGCCGTCGTTCAACCCCATCCAAAACGCAATCCAGTATTTGCTATAGGCCCTACCGGTGATTCCAATCCGACTTCCCGGGACGCTAGTCCTGCTGATTCTGGTGGTGATCGCACGCCAGGCGCATCCTCTCCGGCACCTGGTAGCCGGCCATATACACCACAAGGAGAGAAGGAAGATACCTACACCCGCTCCAAACGCGCAGCACAAGCGAGAAACCTCGACTCACTAGAAGCCCGCTACATCTACGGTGGACGTGACGGACGCAGTTCAGCAGCATCATCAGTTTATCAATTGCCACGCTCCAAGGGCACTGATTCTGATAGGGAAGACAGCAAGCGGTCGAGTATATTCGGAAAGAGGTCCATCAAGGGCCACGGCTCCGATGCAGAAGATGTCAAGTCGCCGACCGGCAAACACCATGGATCAATGGCTGAACTCAAACGCTTCTTCAAGATTGGACACAAGAATAAGGACAAGGACAAGGACAAGGAGAAGCGTGGAAAGTCTCCTGCACCATCGATTCGGAGTCAGAAGATCAAGTCCACCAAATCCGGTACCATGACACCACCCATAACAAACGGATCGATACATGTCCCCTTTGCGGATGACCACGGCCTGCAGAGCAAGTACGGAAAGTTTGGAAAAGTGCTGGGATCCGGTGCTGGTGGCTCGGTTCGGCTTATGAAGCGAAGTAGCGATGGCACAACGTTCGCCGTCAAGCAGTTCCGTAACCGTCATTCATACGAATCCGAAAAAGATTACAACAAAAAGGTTACTGCCGAGTTCTGCATAGGATCAACACTCCACCATGGAAACATTATCGAGACCATGGACTTGGTGAATGAAAAAGGAAGCTATTTCGTCGTCATGGAATACGCACCCTTTGATCTTTTCGCAATAGTAATGACTGGAAAGATGAGTCGCGAAGAGGTTGCTTGTGCCACACTGCAGATTCTTAATGGAGTCACATATCTCCATAGCATGGGCTTGGCTCACCGTGATTTGAAGCTTGACAACGTCGTTGTCAACGAACACGGAATCATGAAGATTATTGATTTTGGCAGTGCTGCCGTCTTCAAATACCCATTTGAAGACGAAATCGTTCTCGCCAGTGGTACGTAGCACCAGACGTTATACCAGCAGCGTTTCTAACTTGTTTTCAGGTATTGTCGGCTCAGATCCTTACCTTGCACCTGAAGTGTATGATCTGTCCAAGTACGACCCACAACCTACCGATATCTGGTCACTTGCTATCATGTTCTGTTGCATGACATTACGCCGATTCCCATGGAAAGCGCCACGGATATCCGACAACTCGTACAAACTCTTTGTCTCACCCCCCAACGACGGGCCAAGGTCGATCACCGGGCCCTCCAAGTCAGCTACGGATCTTGAGAGTACTGCACGTGACGAACGCCGGCAATCTGGGCCCGGCTCTGAGTCTACCACTCGGCATCAATCCTCGGAACACCCTTCGACTGAGCCGCGCGCATCGACGTCATCGAACGGCCAGCAGCCGCCGCAGGTGATCAAAGGTCCTTGGCGTCTCCTGCGTTTGTTACCTAGGGAGAGCAGACACATCATAGGCCGCATGCTGGAAGTCGACCCCAAGAAACGAGCGACACTGGATGAGATACTCGAAGACAAGTGGGTCATCAACAGTGAGGTGTGCTCGCAAGAAGAGGGCGGCAGGATAATACGAGCTGGAAACCATGAGCATACACTCGAGCCTGGAGCCGGAGGCTCTTCTGCTCCCAATACACAACAACAGCAGAAGAAGTAAAGTAAGAGCAGAGGTGATAGCTCGTGGAGAGAGGGACTGGTAGATAGGTGGCGAGGACGGTTAATATTGAGGTATTTTTTGGATGATTAGCAGGTGGGTGTTTGAGCAAAGGTTGTTGTTGTTGTTGTTTGCATGATGCCAGATATTCCCATGCCCGAACTAGAGAGGAGGCTCCTTGTCCTGTTTTTCTTCGACTGCGTGTATGCGCGCAGGGTATTCCCTTTTTTCCTTTTCTTAGCAAATTTTTAGACGTTACGACAGTAAAGAGAGCGATATATAAATATATTTGATACAAATGGAAGAGGGGAAGGGGAAGGGGGGGAGGGAGTGTAGAGTTTGAAAGAGAAAGCAAGAGAGTCATAGGGAAGAAGGGGATATAGGATGATAATAAAAAAGTATTGAAATGACCAAGGTTACTCTCTTATGCATGATGATAGCAGTGGCAGGTAAACTAACCAGCTAGTTTATCCGCATGACATGTATGGGTTGGGGGGGGGGCTCATGTACACGTGAGCCCCCTTCGTTGTCCGTCTATGCAAAACCCGTGGGGCGCGGCAGAAAGGCAAGGCGGTGGAAGGGAAGGAAGGGGCATCTCACGCAAGAAATGCCACGGCGATGTAAAGCCGAACAAAGAATTTGAAGCAAAAAAAAACAAGACTTCCCGTGTCACAATCGAGAATGTATCTCGTCAGCAAGAACAATAACAACAACGATGATGATGACGATGAGAGAGAGAGAGACAGAAAACGCGCAATCTATGTGTTCGTGGGACTTTTTTTCTTTACGTGACTAAATGGCCATGTAGAAACCATGTATGATTGTTTACACACCCTTACTAGTTCGTTGGGCTTTTTTTTGGTTGCCCCGCCCATGTCCTCTAAACCCCTCCCTAGACAAACACGGGCGTGTCAAGAGGGAAAGCCGGAAGGAGGGAGGAGAGAGGAGCAGGAAGACAAAAGGGTAAAGGAGAAAAGAGAGAGAGAGAGAGAGGATAGGGAGTGGCCTAATGCGGGTGGCAGTACCAAGCGAGGAGGAAGCGCTGAAACACGAAACATTTCTTGATCACGCTTTTTTAGGGTCTTCGCCAAGGTAGCTGGTTTCGTAACCCGCGCCTGTACGTACTCATGTTACCCCGTCCTGTCACATCCCTAGGAGTAGCTGTCTCTCTCCCCACACCCACACGTAAGCACGCATGATGAGCAAAAGGTAATATGTAATATATATTATTTACAACGGCAAAAGCAACGTAAAAGAAAAGATCTCAAAAACAAAAAACAAAAAAAGATGGTCAGAACTAAACAAGGTCCGGGGCGCCTGTTGTGCGCGCGCCTGGCGTTTTGCTGACTCTGGGGGTGTCATTGTCTGTGTGTCCCCAGCGCGCGGGTTAGTTAGATTTGGTAAGTGTCAGATCGATGCCGGAGCGCGCTGGGGGAAGGGAAAAAGATGAAGCATATTCGATTCGGTTCGAAACAAGCTTGTTTGAGGAGGAGGGGGTTTAGATGAGCAAGTTTAACTGGAATGGAATAACTCGTGCTAGTAAGTAAAGTACGTGTGGATAATGTATGTGGGGGCGCAACACCGCATTGGCATGCCTGTGGGATTCCAGGCTAAGAGGGCTTAGCGGTCAGAGAGGGCATTGGTCCTTGGTTTGCGCACACTTCTGCACTTGGTGTCTCTCCCACCGCGTGCAAGGGTGTGGGTGTCTGTTTCGCCGTCCACGGTGGATCGCTTTACGAAGCTTGATGGCAGTGTGGGGATGCGACACACGTCAGATGGGCGATTGTATGCCCTGTGGTTGGTGCTGAGGCCAAAAGGTAGGCCAGGGTCCATTGGTTACTCGCTAAGGTATGACCATGAGTGGCAGTGACTATCCAATGCGTGACGCCGTGTGTGGAGAATAAGAGGCGAAGAGATGCGGATGCAGAAAATGGCCAGACTATTGCTGGAATGTTTTGCAGTAGCGGGGCCGAGGGAGGGCTCGTGATGAAGCAGAGACCGTGTTTGTAGTCTATTTTTCTTATTGTGTTTATTTCTTGCTTTTCATGCTATTTGCATCTTGTTTACCGCCATTTGCGCGTGCGACCTACGGGTGTGGTCGGGTACTGCAAGCTAGGTTAAGACGCATTATCCAAGTATGTACGTATGTACTACGTACACAGTAAGAAAGTTCCCAGAACATTGGCAACTCAGCCAGGCGCCCGGTCGTGTTCACGGCGGTAATCCCGTTGTACATGATAGTCAAAGGACCATTAGGCGTTCAGCAGCTGGAACACGCAATGGTGGTGGGTCTCGGCGTGTAATCAACTTTGAGCGCAGCGCAATGGAGGGGTTAGCAGGCCATGGCAGAGGGTGGCACCGCGGCCAAACCAAAGGCTGCGCAAGCAGCAGGGTAGTTCGTTTCATGTTCGTTTGCCCAGGCTACGTTTGGGGGGATTCTGTCGCGAAGGATGGGTTTGAGATTAATGCAGAGTGGTCTGTACCGCGGCTGGATGGGGAATGGTTGGCCGGGGGAGCAATGGCAGCGAGGCATCGCAGGTTAAAGCTCGCTTGCGCTTACCCTTTCTCTGCTCGTCGTGAACAGCCACGACGATGGTCATGATGATGATGAGTGGATAGATATGGCTCAAGGTGAGAGTCTGATGACGGAATTTTGCAGCAGATTGACAGGCGGCCATCATGACAGATGGCGTCCCCCATACGGGCCGTTGATGCGCAGTCAAACGCCGCAGATCGAGAGAGCCAAGGCATGTACAAGTGCCGGATGCAGCGACGGTGGTATCTTGCAAACGCACTAGGCAGTTTTGCACTCTCTGTTGCCCGGCCGCCTGTATAGTAGTAATCGTAGTAAGAAGTAAGAGAGGGCATAAGTAAGCAACAAAGGCAGAATGGTACCGAGGCGTGGCCGTTGGGCGGAGTAGTGTAGTGTAGGTGGGTAAGTAGTGGAGTGAGTGGTTGGACTGACTGCACCTCCATCAAAAACCAACAAAGAAAGACGCCGCTCCGCCGCGCAGCCAACCCGCGTGCCCAACACGCTGAAGATGGAATGCAGATGGAGTGGTGAGTGGTGGGTGGTTATCTCTGTGTGTGCGGCGGCTCCAATCAGAGGGGCGACGGGCGTGTGAGTGCAGCAGCTGAAGCATAGCAGACCAGGGCCGGGGTTTGAGCAGCGTGGGCCTGTTCAGATCAGCGGCCAGGCTCCTTCCTTCCCTTCGCTCGACTCCGCGCCATCACAGGGCCCGTGCCCCCGATGCCTATCGTCCACCCATTTTTTCCCTGTCCGTCCGCGCCAGCTTAAGCGCAAAACGCCTTTCTTCGTTCTCGTCGTCTTGGCTGCCACGCCCCATACTTTAACGCTCAAGTTCCCACTCTGTGTTTGGGCTTTTTTTCTCTTCCCTGACGTGCCCGTCTGCTGGACTAAACAATTCTAGATCTTTTTTTCCCTCGTCGCTATAGTTTTCTTGCTCTCGACTTAATCCTGTGCGGCACACATCCACCCCACGTGCCCTACTTCCTATTCCTGGCTGGTCCCTTTACTTTCCTCCCATTCCTCTCTCAGCATAACGCCCTTGCCGACTAGTCCTACATGTCATCCGGCGTAATCGTCTAGACAGGAGAAAAAAATATTCTAGATCCCGTGTTTATATAAAGACTGAAAAATGCGCCGCCAACTCCCTCCCACCCATCTCAAGGTTCCGCCAGGTCCCCATGCGTTTCCACGGCAACAATTCATCGGACAAGAGACTGTTGTTGTAAACCACTACGCGGGAATTGAAAAGGCAATTCCAGCCATACCGTCGCTACCGGGATTCAGAACAAGTGCAGGTAGGTTGGGATTCTCAATTCTGGATTTGACGTGGTGGGTGGAGTGTCTATGTACTAACAGCCAACAACAGCTTTCCTCACTTCATTGAGCGCCAATCTCAGAATCGACCCAGACCTCCCTTCACCACTACCCACGCCAACAAATTTCCGTCTAAACACCTTTATCCAACCAGTGCCTCCAACCTCACTATCCTACTCAACATCCACCGCCCCGTACAACCCCTACGTATCTACCGCTGAATCGCACGTCATGTCGTCGACCGAAGCGAGTGCACCAGAAAAGGCAACTGCCGACGAGCTGCCCCAACTTTCCACCTACACGGCTGAAACCGAAGATGACCGTATTGAGGGCCTGCGCCTAGTCGCCGACTCGGTTGCACAACAGCGCCAGGTCGCCAGCAAGATGATGATGTTCCACCCTATCTCGCTAGCCGCCTACTTTGTCGCCGTGGCCATTGCAGCACAGTACATGCTCCGGTGGTACGAGGACAAGTTGATGCTCGTCACCACCATTGGCGGCATCAGTATGACTTTCCTAATCTTCATTCGCTGGATGACTGGCGGCTACATTAGCCTGGCAGAGGACATCAACATGGACTGGCTCGGTGATGACAGGTTGATTGTGGTCAAGTGGGGCGAAGACGTCATTGGCTCTTTAGTCTTGGGTTGGGCAGACAACGATGCCGCAAAGAAGCGTGGCAGGAGAAGGAGGGGCAAGGCCGTTGTGCGCGCTTGGACCGTCAAGCTCAAGTACCGCGGCAAAGGTGTTGGTGAGGGTCTTTTGGAAGAGGCAGTCAGGGTTGCGGGCGAGAGGGGCGCAGATGGCATTCTTTTCGATCCCGACCATGCCAGTAAGTTTTATCGCTACGATACACTCCTCTCGATCAGGTTGCTAACAATGACCACTAGACTCTAAGCGCATCCTGCCTCTCATCTTCAACGGATTCATCAACAAGCAAGAGGCCAAGGCCGAAAAGGCCCTGCAAAAAGTCGCAGACGCAAAGGGCAACTTTCGCCAGCGTCAGAGCTCCCCTACCTGGGGAAGCAGATAGAAGATTCTGTTTTCTATTTATTTATTTTTCCTTTACTGCAACTTCTATCTTAAGGACACAGCAGCAGGAGTTTTTTTTCGGGCTTTCATTGTTTGTCGCTGCAGCAAGTTTGCTGTCTCGGAAGATACCCCACACACATTCCTCTCGTTGATCGATGATACCCACCATACAATCGCTATTCTCAGCCATCTACTATGACATTTAGTTTAGCAACTATTTGCGCTCCTAATCAAGATACGTTATCAAGCATCTGTCCATCTTTTACCTAGTTCATAACTATAACAACCGAGTAGTATAGATGGTGACATACTATGCTTTATCTAGTCGACTCGTTCGATGATGGGGTGTCCTACGATTTAGTTGCATAAAAGACGGCCATCTCCGTGGACCTGGTGACTTGTTGGTGTACTGTCTATGTACGCCACTTTGAGTCAGGATACATCGCGCATTGATCCGTACATTCTATCTGCCACACACCAACACACCAACTCACATGCACTTGGCAAATCCGGTGTGATTGCTACCCGGTGAATTCCTATCTCAACACGCTTCCCCTACTCCCTCCCAAGCCCTGTAAGACGCAAACTACACCCTGCAAATGCGTACTGATAACCGTGCATAAGCCTTTGATACAAACTAACCGGCCCCAACGGTACCATTAACTCTCTCTGGTTCGTTGGCAACCCGCCCTTATTCTTTTTTTTTACCCCGCGGTTACGTCGCATACCCATTTTACCTTTTACCCCTCCATTCCCCCCCCTCCCCCCCTCGGCCCCTCCCCTAGGATATTAGCGCTTTCCCGGTTTCCCTTGTCTTGTTTTGTTTTTGCACCCCCCACCCCCCCCCCAGGGAATAATGCAGGCCAAGTCAGGCCATAGATTCGGGAGGGAGGGGAGGAGAACCAAGATACTGGGCGCTTTTTTTTTAATGTTGGAGAGGGAAGTAAAGTCAGGCCGTTCTAGATGCAACGACCAACTGATAACGTTTTTTCTTAGGCGTGAGGTGATCACCCCGATTGTTTGTTTCCCTTCCCCCCAACCACCCCTCCTTCTCTCTCTCTCATACGCTCCCTCGCCGCGTCAGCTGGCTCTTTAGCAACCTAATCTCGCAATGACGCGGCTGCTCGCAATAACTTTTGTGTGAAAAGCTTTGTTACAAAGAAAAACCAACGGTTGTAGTTTCATACACACAAAAAAAACACTCCCGGACGCCTATTTGAGGATGTAGTATTTCGGGCTTTCCCAATTCAGCGCGCAGGTGCTGCACCCGCCTCTGTATCTCCATCTACCGAACTCGTAGGATACTCTTCGCGCAGCTGCAGTATCACTTTCTGTCGGTCCGCGAGTTAGCCAGATCCAACCAACCACATCTCTCCATCTCTCTTCTTCTTTTTTTGGGAGTTGGCCGGCAGTAAATGCCGTGTAACGTAGACTATAATAGAAAATTACCCAACGGCGGACAATGCGGAGCCGCGCGCGAGGGTTGTTACTGTGCCGCAGTGGGATGGAAAAAAAGTCACGGGGATCTTGTTTGCTAAACGTACCGCCAAAGCCTCTGGGTTCGCGCCATTTTCAATCAATGACACGCAATATGATAGTTGCTGCCGATCGAGATGCGTGTTCTAAAGCCGAGAGTTTTAGTTGTTGGGCGGGGGGCCTTTTTAGATTGGGGAGGAGCGGGGAGGGGTGTGCTTGCATACTTACCAGCAATGTTGCAATTTCGTGAAGAATATCGATGACTTCTCGAGCAGCCTTTCTACGGGCGTCTGCTGAGGTTTGTTCGGCGGCTGGCATTTTTGGGAGTTTTCCACTTTTTTTTTTCTCTCTTTCAGTCTTCTGAGTAACAGAGAAAATAGAATGTCTGTGGTCGTGTGAGTAGCGGATGCCTGTTTGTTGACAGCCGTCTTGGGGGCGCGATGACCCTAGGGAACGCGGCGCGACTTTGGCACGTGACCTTCCTTGGCGGGTGTTACTTCTCTATCGTGCTTTCATAGAAAATAAAAATCGAGAATGCGCTCACGGTGTTTCGTAGAGGCAAGGAGACTCAATTTCTGACTGTTTTATTTTTCTACTTCATAGTACCTGTTTTAACTTTTTCAAATGAAAGCTCGGAAATCGGTCTTCGATGACATCGACATATCCAGCTCATAGCATCACCATTATAACGACGAGACATGGCCTACCACTGCTTACACATTTAACAACGGCTACACAACGGATACTCGTGTATTTTTTGTAGATTTCCACCATGACTATAATTGTATTTTACCTAACTAATAACAATAAACTACCAAGCATCCTCTGTACTAACTGAACCGCATCTGTTGGCACGATAAAGGTGCACGTGGTGAATCAACTTGCAGCTGCAAATACTATAGTGAGGAAGCGGATTGATTGATTGTATCTGTTATCGTGTTGAGTATCTACAGTACCTCCGCGCACGGGCCAATAGGCGGTGACGACG